TCGATAACATCGATTGTTTTGCCTGGTCCTATTTAGATATAACAGGGATCCCGCCGGACATAACGATTCATTGGCTAAGCTTGGACCCCAGGTTCAGATCGGTGAAGCAAAAGAGAAGATCCCAGTCCGAGGGAAAGCACGTATTCATAAAGGACGAGGTAACTAAGCTTCTCAAAGTAGGGTCTATTCGAAAAGTGAAATACCCCGAATGGTTAGCCAACGTAGTTGTAGTGTCTAAAAAAGGGAACAAACTTAGAATGTGTGTGGACTATAAGGATTTGAACAAATCATGCCCCAAAGATTCCTTTCCGCTGACGAACATCGATCGCATGATCGATGCCACGGCCGGCCACGAGATCCTCACTTTTCTCAATGTGTATTTCGGGTATAATCAGATCCAGATGAACCCGTAGGACCAGGAAAAAATTTCATTTGTCACCAAATATGGAACGTATTGTTATAATGTGATGCCCTTCGGGCTAAAGAATGCAGGGGATACTTACCAACGCTTAGTAAATAAAATGTCCGAAGAACAAATAGGAAAATCAATGGAAGTTTATATTGATGACATGCTAGTTAAATCCCTACGCGTAGAGGATCATTTGACCCATTTGCAGGAAGCGTTCAAAATTTTGAAAAAATACAACATGAAGCTCAACCCCGAAAAATGCGCTTTCGGGGTCAGTTCGGGCAAGTTCCTCGGCTTCATGGTGTCACATCGGGGAATAGAGATTAACCCCGATAAAATCAAGGCCATCGAAGACATCGTCGTTGTAGACAGCGTGAAAGCCGTACAAAGGCTAACGGGTCGGATTGCAGCCTTAGGCCGGTTCATTTCAAGATCATCTGATCGAAGTCACAAATTTTTCTCTCTACTCAAAAAGAAGAACGATTTTGCTTGAACCTCAGAGTGCCAACAAGCATTAGAGAAGCTAAAATGATATCTGTCAAGCCCACCACTACTTCACACTCCAAAAATAGACGAAAAACTTTATTTGTACTTGGCAGTATCAGAAATCGCCGTAAGCGATGTCCTAGTTCGAGAAGAGCAAGGTACGCAATTCCCCGTTTATTATATAAGTCGAACCTTAGGAGAAGCGGAAACTAGGTATCCACTCCTAAAAAAATTGGCACTTGCACTGATAAGCGCCTCTAGAAAGTTAAGGTCGTACTTTCAATGCCATCCCATATACGTATTGACCACTTACCTGCTTCGTAATATTTTGCAAAAACCTGAGTTATCAGGCCGACTAGCCAAATGGGCCATCGAACTCAGTGGGTACGATATCGAATATCAACCCCGTACGGCCATCAAGTCTCAAATTTTAGCAGACTTCGTGGCCGATTTCACGCCAACCCTCGTGCCCAAAGTCAAAAGAGAACTCCTGTTGAAATCAGGTACATCATCGGGGGAATGGATCCTTTTTACAGACGACGCTTCGAACGTGAAAGGATCCGGGCTGGGCATAGTTTTGAAACCAGCCTCGGGTAACATTATTAGGCAATCTATTAAAACTATCAGGTTGACTAACAACGAGGCCGAGTATGAAGCCATGATTGCAGGTCTCGAGCTAGCTAGAAACTTGGGAGCGGAAGTCATTGAAGCCAATTGTGACTCTTTGCTGGTGGTGAGTCAAGTAAACAAAACCTTCAAAGTTAGAGAAGGTAGAATGCAAAGGTATTTAGACAAACTGCTTGTCACTCTGCACCATTTCAAACAATGGACATTACGACATGTTCCACGAGAACAGAATAATGAGGCCGATGCGCTTGCAAATTTGGGATCGTCGGTCGAGGTAGACGACTTGAGCTCGGGGAATGTTGTTCAACTTTCGAGATCGGTAATAGAAGAGGGTCACGCCGAGATAAATTCTACAAGCTTAACCTGAGATTGGAGAAATAAGTATATCGAATACTTGAAGAGCGGAAAGCTCCCATCGAACCCTAAAGATTCTAGAACCCTACGGACTAAACTTGCTCGATTCACGTTGGCTTTGGACGGAATGATGTACCGAAGAACATTCGACGGGCCGTTGGCAGTATGCTTGGGTCCGAGAGATACCGATTATATCCTACGGGAAGTGCACAAGGGCACTTGCGGGAATTATTCCGGTGCCGATACTTTAGTTGGAAAAAATAATCAGAGCAGGGTATTATTGGATCGATATAGGCAAAAATGCAAAGGAATTCGTTCGTAAATGTGACAAATGTCAAAGGTTTGCGCCAATGATCCATCAACCCGGAGAGCAACTCCACTCAGTCCTATGCCCATGGCCGTTCATGAAATGGGGAATGGATATCGTCGTCCCTCTACCAACGGCCCCAGGTAAAGCCAAATTTATTTTATTTATGACTGACTATTTTTCTAAATGGGTTGAAGCGCAGGCGTTCGAGAAAATAAGAGAAAAGGAAGTTATAGACTTTATTTGGGATCATATCATATGCCGATTCGGGATACCTGCCGAAATAGTATGCGACAATGAAAAAAAATTCGTTGGCAGCAAAGTAACGAGATTCCTCGAAGACCACAAAATAAAAATGATACTATCGACGCCATACCACCCCAGTGGGAATGGACAGGCCGAATCAACCAACAAAACCGCCATTCAAAACCTAAAAAAGAGGTTGAGCGACGCTAAAGGAAAATGGAGAGAAATCCTGCCCGAAGTCCTTTGGGCATATCGGCCGACGTCAAAATCCAGTACGGGGGCGACCCCATTCTCCTTAGTATATGGGTCCGAAGCATTGATACCAGTAGAAGTTGGTGAACCCAGTGCCAGATTTCGATTCACGATGGAAGAATCAAATAACGAGGCTATGAATACCAGCCTCAAACTATCGGACGAAAGACGAGAAACTGCTCTCGTCCAATTGGCCGCCCAAAAGCAGCGAATCGAAAGATATTATAATCGAAGAACTAAGCTCCGCCATTTCAATCCCGGGGACTTAGTGTTAAGAAAAGTTTCCGTCAATACCCGAAATCCGAACGAAGAAAAATTAGGACCGAATTGGGAAGGACCATATCAGGTGCTCGAGAACATCAGATTAAAAAGTACTTTTCCAAAATAAAAGTTTGTAAGCAGCGCTTTTTGCAAGCTCATTATGTTTGGCCAATATTTTAAAAAAGCACTTTTAAGTATCAAATCAAAAAATGACAGTAAAGGTTCAATTTGCAATTAGTATTATTTAGAAAAAAAATTAAATTTAAACATTTGTTATAAAATAATTCAATTAAAATATAAAGCGAAAAGTAAATGTAAATTAAAAATTTCAATCAATATAAAATATAGTTATTCCAAAGCAATAACATTGAGTGTTTGGTATTACTTATTATTTTACATGATAATTTAAATATGTCAAAATATATCATTCAATATAATTTAAAATCTACTCTTAGGAATAGGGGAGTGCAAATAAAAATATGATTAAAATAAAAAAGAGAAGAAATGTATAGTAGAAATAAAATAAAAAAAAGTTAAATCAATGAGGTATAATTTGAAAAATATAAATTTATTGTAAGATTATTTTTTTCTTGAATAAATTAATTTTCTGATTCTGCTTATTGGAAGAAACTAGAGTTTGTAGCTTCTTCCCAAAAGTAGAAAAATTATTTCTGCTGATACTCAAAAGTACTTTTTAATTTTAGCCAAACACCTTAAACTAGAAACACCTTAAGTTTTCGAAAAAGTACTTTTTTGACCCAAAAAAAATGTTTGGCCTCCCAAAGCTTGGCAAAACAGGCTCTTAGAATCAATTTTTAAAAGTTTGACCAAACATTAATTGCTGCTTAGAAGTATTTTTCAAATTAATTAATTCAACACAAACTACTCAACGCCAAAAGTACTTTTGAGAAAAATATTTCTCTAACTTGACTAATACCACTTATTAGGATCGAAATAATTACGTGTCATGCAAAAGCTAACAAAGCAAACCTAGAACGGCGATAAATCAAAAAACAAAAAGAAATATACTAAAAGAGACACAAACATTTAACGTGGTTCGGTAAATTAATCTACGTCCACAGGCGGATATGAGCAGTCCACTATATAAAAGAGAATATAAAATATCGAGAGAATAACCTCACAAAGAGACACACACAAGTGGCAGGCTAACATCGTCACACCTCATTTTTACGGGGAAAGAAGTTTTTTCAATTTAAGTGACATTATTGAAATGAGATTATTTATTTAATTATAGAGTCGCTATTCAAAATTATTTAATTAACGGTGTTCTGAGTCACCAATTATTTTTGAATCCCAAATCAAGGAAAGTTTGACTCCGTATAAGTCTACGAAATACAAAAGAGCTAGGTAAGGAATTCTGTCAACCCGGAAGAAGGTGTAAGGTACTCTCGAATTCCGTGATTTTAGCACGATCGCCTTACAATTACACCTGACTTAATTATCCGATTATTATATGTTTTAGACCTTTTGTGCATTTTACCTTTTACCGCTTTTGAACAAATATTTTGGCCATTTCAAGTATTTATGGAATTTACTTTAACAAGTTACGATGTCGTACACTTATCTTTTTGTACACATCGCAAATAGCGCCGCGTGTAACGCACCCGCAATTCACAACATGTTTATTTTTATTGTTACTTTGAAGTTGGGGTCAAGTCACACAAGCGTGCATTCATGTTTGGAGTTACGTATTATGTCATTAAAACTGTACCCACAACCATGATGATTTTTATTGTATTATTATCATGAAAACCGTACCCACAACCACGATGATTTTTATTAAACGCGCCTGGAATATTCATAAATTGCTTATTTTTAGCTGTTTGAGATCATGTGTTGAGGTCTATAGCTATGAAGTCATTTGGGGATAAAGTACACAAATCAAAGTAAATTTGAACGCCAACTTGCGTGAGCTGCCAGAATATTAGAGACTTAAGAGTCTTTCTTCAATTGAGTTAAATTAATGAGGTAAGATAATCGGATATAGGCACTCGAATCATTATCAAACATTGTTAACAAATTATGCTATGTAACCAATGGCGAATTAATTGGTGGATCTTTTTCAGTTAATTATTTCAGTAAGAATTCATCATAAGATAGCACTACTATGGGTTAAGACCATTCGACCTCCAACAGGCTTAAAAGTGTTCGTAGGTGGGCTTACAGCGAAAGCCCAATATGTCATAGCCTTTTGAAACAACCAGCCTTCTCCAATTGCCTCATATGAGGGTGAGCTCAAGTGATTAACCATTGGTTTGGGTGGTTTCAGCGGTGTTGCTTCTGGAGGGCGTCCTACCACAGCAGAGGTCGCCCTTATAGGCCCGCTCAGATGCCTCGTCCATTTCATCGTGGTGCATCAGCTATCCATGTTTCATACAATGCCCGTCTGGGTCAGTCATCTCTCCGTGCCCTCCTAGATTAGAGTTCATCCAGTGCTCCATCTGTTCAGGGTTCATCTGTGCCATGTTCCAACCTAAGTTAAATCCAGCTCTAAAGCTTCCAAATGGATTTGGGCCTCCATAACGAGCCCATCAGTGGACATGAATAGGGGTGGACAACAAACTTACAATTACAGTTCAAAATAAAATGAAAAACTACAATACAAATAGTCACAAATAACTTGCGTAATTTTTTGCTAATTGCAAGTTGCAACAACTGATAGAACAAATTATTACAATCCTATTTCAAATGAGTTTTACACAAATCAGTGTTAACAGAAATAACCCTCAAATTTCAAACTAAGAACTAAAACTCAGCTATTACAATCAGTGGGCCCTTTTTACATCTGTGAAGCCCCGAATCAAATCATGCACTGGTCATAATTCCAAATCTCAATACCAATGTTCTCAATGTTCTAAACCTTAGTTACAAATCTGTCAGTAATCAACCAAACTCCCTATACAACGTCAATTTCTAGTTAACAAAATTCCAGTCATGAATCGAATCATATGAGTCAGAGAAACAGATTTCATGGTTATTCACATTTTTCATATTAATCAAATCAAACAAATCTAGTTTCAACTCAAATTTACAGTCACGAGAAAAGCATTTGATAACATGTGAATGAACAAATTTCAGCAAATTATGTAGCATAAGGAGGTCCAATCAACAATTACATTTGAGATTTGAGACAAATACCTCAAAAGCTATGAAAACACACTTAGAAGAGCTAAATAAAGGCTGAATCAGACATATTTGAGCTAGAAGAAGCAAAGATTAGCAGGTTCAACAGTAAAGCAGCAGCAGACAGCTTCAATTCCAGATGAAAATCAGTCTTTGAAGTCTAGGCGAGCAATATAGAATACTTACTTCAGTCAACAATAGCAACTAATTGTTTTTGAGTATGAAACTAAGCCTAAACCTTATGTTTTTCCTCTCAGTTTTTAAAAGCTAGAAAAATCAAATCACAGAAAAGGAACTTTCAATCTAAATATCTGTTCTCAGCTCCTTTTCGTGTGTGAAGGGTGAGTTACTATTTTATAGACTACTCTAGGGCTGCATTCACATTTTTCTTTTCTTTTAAATAACTTCTTTTCTGTTTTTTTACTCACCCAGTCCTTAATAACTGACCCTCTGCTCAGTCTTTTCTTGCTAAACAGTCCCCTTTTCCATTACGAGGAAGCTTCCTAGCAGTTATTAAAAGATTCCCTAGATTGAATTCCCCAATTACCTCTTAAACCCCTGTGATTACCAATTTCTTTCAGCATTAGGCCTGGGCCAGATGCCAATAAGCCCAGGATCGATCACTAGACCTGTTGCCCTTCTCAAACTCAAAACTTTAATCTAATGGGCCCAACCCACGACCAAACAAACCAAGAGCTCATGCTCAGATTGAAGATTAGGTAAATAATTTTGAATTCAGAACAGATTCTTAAACTAATTATCAAGCAATTACAACTAATTAATCCCAATTACGAACCAAAACATGCTTTAGACATAATTTCAAAAACTAGAACACACTTACAGAAAAGGGAAGAAAATTTTACCAATTGACGTCAAAGAGTTCCGGCGAATGAGATGAACTCTAATGGCAATCAATTAAACTCCGGCGAGCAAAGACTTTGGCAAGTAATGAAAATTGTAACATAAGCATTGGCCGAAATTTCTTCAAACGGCTAGTGCTTCATGTCACAATTCTCATTACACGCTAAAAAGAGGAAGAGACAGATTCAAGGCGACTCTGGCCGGTCAACGGCCATTTGACCGGAATCCAGACGCCGTGAAATAAGTCAGAACCAACATCAATCAACTGCTCTCATCAAAAGCAGTCGATTGATGTAGGTGTCACTACCAAAAAGGGCCAGATTAGGAAGAAATCAGAAAGGGGATGAAAAGGTTGAATTTTTATTTTTCTGGTTCACTAATCGAGAAGTTTGGATGGGTTTTGGGGAAATAGATGATGGATTAAGGATGATGAGTATGTGAGGAGTATTTGGTAAGATTTTGGGAGCATTTGGCGCTGATTCGCCGCCGGGAGGCGAATTCCGGTAGGCAGAAGACGGCGGATTAAGGTGGGCTGCTGGACAGAATAGGGGAATTAGGGGCGGCTGAGTACATTGGGGTGAGTTTAATTGTTTTGATGAGATGAGGGAGATGGGTCGTTTAAGTTAGTGGAGAAAGACGAACGGCGAAGTTTTGACACTATACTACGTCGTTTTGTTGCTCCGGCCTTAAGGGCACTTGGACCGGGTAGAAAGTGGGCTGGGGCGGGTAATGTAAGCATTGGGCTGCTGAAAATTGGCCCAAATTGCTGAAGACTTGGCTAGCCTCTTTTCTTCCTTGATTAATTAGCCACTTAAACTAAAACTCTTCTTTTTAGTACTAAATTGCAAAACTAACCTATTAACCTATCTTACTCTAATAATGATTTAATTAACTAACCGGAGTTGTGGTTTAAGAAAAGAAATAAAAAAGCTATTCAATTTAACCTAGAAATGCTAATGTATTCTGTGAGTTTGTCTTGAGAGATGCTATTATCATGCAACTAAATGCTAAAAACGAAATTAGCTCTATAATGTAAAAAGATGAAAGAGAAGAAATTATTTTTGACTTTTCATGATTTTAAATGCTTTCTGATTATGCTAAAAATGCAAATAAATGCCAAATAAATAAAAATAAAAATAGAGGAAAATTCCTAAATATCCATAAAAGCAATTAAAAATTATTTTGGATATTTTATGAGTATTTTAAACATAAGGCAAAAATTACGTGCTCACAAACACTTGTCCCAAAAATTCTTCGCCTAAGCAAAACTCTCAAACGCCTTATGGCAATATTGTGGATGCCACTAAATGAGAATTCCTAAATATCCATAAAAGCAATTAAAAGTTATTTTGGATATTTTATGAGTATTTTAAACATAAGGCAGAAATTACGTGCTCACAAACACTTGTCCCAAAAATTCTTCGCCTAAGCAAAACTCTCAAACGCCTTATGGCAATATTGTGGATGTCACTAAATGAGAAGGAATGATTCTCAATTTATAGAAATCCAAAATCTTTTCTCTAAGAAAAAGGAATAGTTAAATATGGAAGAATTATATATTTTCTTTTCGTAAAAGGTTAAAAACTAATTATGGTAAATATGTTGTCCTTCCTTCAAGGAATAGAAAAACTAAATATAGTAAGAAAATCAGGACAACACATAACAGTTAGCCCAATAACTGATATTATTAGAGCCAATGGTTTGGCGTGACTATGGAGATGACTTAGTGTGGCGTAGGGGCCCGACTTAGTGTCTTTGCCCGTCTACAAGGTTTACGATGACATTTACCCATAGCTTTGAAGACGCATACGCAGCCTTTGGCCTTCAGTGACCGTAAATACTCAAGACCATGTGGGTAGCACATAGTTAATCTCCAAATTAGCCCATGAATGGTGATGGGTCATGTAAAATTTAGTTCAAGGGGAAGATTGTTGGGTGTATGAACAAAGTCTCACATGAAAAGTAGAAAAGGAAAAAAAAGTTACTTATAAAGAGTTGGATACTCTTAATGGTATGAGACCTTTTGAGGAAAACTATACGGACTTGGTTCAAAGCAAACAATATCACACTATAATAAAAGTATCTTTGGAACGTTTTCGCCCAACAAATTCTTGAGATTAAGGCGAGTCATACTAAAGTAATGAGAATTTGTAATGGATATTTTAAATCTAGATATGATGCTTTATAGAATCTAGTGTTCGGTTCGACATAAATATCGAGCGATAGTAATCTATTAATCCAATGTATTAATTTATGTGATAGAGTTAGATCCCATTAGGAGTAGGTGATGGTAAATAACTACTAATAAGTTTGAAGTTTTGAAAAGTGTTTTTAAGTGTTGAATTGATTTTTTAAATAAGCGTTTATGTATTTGGATGGAAGTGTTGAAACTGATACTATAAGTCGAGAAATAGCTCTGAGGTATAGAATGAAGAAAACGTTAGAAAAATTATTTTGAAAAAAGTATTTTGTAAATTAAAAAATATTATTAAGAATAAACAAACAAAAGTCTTGGTCAAACTAAAAGTGTTTATAAGCAAAAAGTCATAAGTTGGAGGTGACCAACTTATAACTTATGACTGATTTTAGCTTATAAGCACTTTTGGTATTTGCCAAATATATAAAAAGTCAAAAAGTATTTATAAGACAATTTGACTAGCTTATAAGCTTTGTCAAACATCCACTTATTATTGTGAAATTTATGATTTTATTTTGTACTCCCTCCGTTCACTTTTACTTGGCACGTTTTGACTTTTCACTCCCCTTATGAAATAATAAATGAAGTGCATAATTTATCATGATACTCATATTAATTGATACATATTTTATTGGATTTGAGAAAATAATTTGAAATGAGTAATAAATACTGTGGATATAACATGAATTTTTTTTTATCTTTTTTTTGATATACGTAAAATAACAAGTAAAAATAAAAAATTATTTTTAGTATACATGCCAAATAAAAGTGAATGGACAGAATAAGATTTATAATCTAAATATAGCATGAGATGTTTATTGCATTGACCCTTCTAACTTGTGTGCGCGTTCCACCTACTCTGCCAACAGCCACCTTTTCTTTTTATCTCCTTGTATTTTAGTGAATCTTTGAATTTTTAACTTTCAACGGCGGCCAAAGTCCAAACATAGCTTCTTCCGCTTACCAACTTCTGTCAACGTTTTACCAAAAATTAAGACTTTTAGAGACCTGACAAATGCAAAAGGTGAGAAAAAACCCAATGATTAAATAGGATACAACTATTTTATCACACGTGTTTTACATATCAAACATGCGTAGGAAGTTTCCTTTTACTGTTCTTCTTGATTTGCTGAAAAATTGTCTCTTTTGATATTTGGAGTGGCTACAAAATCAGAAGTTTGCACTACCCCATTACAAGTCCATGTGCCTTTCTTTTTGGACCTTTGAAGTTTCTTTCTTGCTGAGCTCTGAAAATCTTACAAATTTACAAGCTTAACTTGGAGTTTCCTTTTTGGTTTAACATTTTGTGGGGTTGTGGATTTTAGTCTCTGAATTGGAAGTTTTCCATAAAAGTGATGTTATCAAGTGTTTTAAGCTAGAAATGGGAGAAAATATCTGATCTTTTTGCGTAGCTTAGTGCTTCAAAAAATTGACCTGGTAAAAAAGAAAAGTGAAAATCTTCAAGATTTACTGCAATTTGAAAGTGGAAAGAAGTTAGTACTGTCTTTAAAGAGAAGTGGCATTTCTGAAATTAGCTTCTTAGGTGCAAGAATGGAAAAACAACAGAGTTTTCGAAATGGGGTGATGGAAAATCAGAAAAGTATTAGGATAGTAATGGAGAGGCAAGTTAGTTTTGATGTTGAGAAGAAAAGGGATAAAGAATCACCGGGAAAACGAGGGGATTCACCTCTTCATCTTGCAGCTAGAATAGGGAATTTAGGAAAAGTGAAACAACTTATTGAGAAATTTGATGGAAAAGGCATCAAAAGTTTGCTATCTTTGCAAAACCAACAGGGTGAGACTGCATTATATGTTGCTGCTGAAAATGGCCACACTTTAGTTGTTGCTGAGATGTTGAAATATTTGGACCTTCAAATTGCTTCTTTTGTTGCAAATAATGGCTATGATGCATTCCAAGTTGCAGCAAAGCAAGGTCATCTNAACAATAAACCCATTATAATTTCAAAAGTGGGGTCTGGGGAGGGTAGTGAGTATGCAGACCTTACCCCAATAGACCCTCGGCACGAAAGACATATAAAGTATGATAAGAACTTTGAAAAAAATGAAGATCATGTTTCAATTAATTGTATGAAGTTCTGTTCATATTGTCTTTAACATTTGGTGTTGATGCAATTAACTTTCAGATAAAAAGTGTGTATACTTCATGGGGTTAGTGCTTTGCTAGTATATTATGCACTTGACCTTGACACTTAGCGTGCCACTTCCATCCCGGATTTTAGCTTCTGAACCCTCAAATTAGATGGTACTTGGATGTCTTATAGTTTTTTTTTTTTTGTTAATCTTTTTGAAGTTCTCTAATCCATGACTAATGAACCTAGATAATTCCTACTTTTTTCTCCTCCCATGGGTATAAGCTCTAAATATCACATTATAAAATTGTTAGAGGAGTTGTGAAACTATATTGTTCAAGACCAAGATAATGATACATCTTTAACAAAATGATGGGAAAAGACATTTTTCTGCGTCAAGAATGGACTTGCACCTGCCAATTGCCATCAATTGATACAATTGCTCAATAGTCCTTACTCCAAAGTATTACGGCTTAGGTGTTTGCGAGGACAAGTAAAAAAGAAAAATTGAGTGGGTAATTGCTTGAAGTTTGTTCTGTTAACACTTGTTCGTTACGTTCTTTTCTTACCTCCACTCTTTGAAACTCTTTTTTTTTTGGATATGACATTGCAGAGATACTGAAGGAACTATTGCATTCATTTCCAAACCTGATTATGGCGACAGATTCATCCAATTCTACAGCCCTACATACAGCAGCTGCTCAGGGACACACTGATGTGGTAAATCTGCTTCTGGAGATTGATTTGAACCTTGCTAAGATAGCTCGGAACAATGGGAAGACTGTGCTGCATACAGCAGCAAGAATGGGCCGCTTGGAAATAGTTAAATCTCTTCTGAGCAGAGATCCTGAGATTGGCCTTAGAACAGATAGTAAAGGCCAAAGTGCCCTGCACATGGCTGTAAAGGGACAAAATGTTGACATTGTGCGCGAATTAATCAAACCGAATCCTGCTGTATTGGCTTTGGAAGATAACAAAGGAAACAGAGCTCTTCACATTGCAACAAAAAAGGGACGGGCACAGGTTTGTCTCTGTCTGTCTGTATGTTTCCTTTTAAAACAGTAATCCAGAATTCATGTGTTTTGCGGTGAATGAATATTGTGTTTTACATCTTGAAAAAAATGCAGCTAAATTCAGTCAAATTGTTTGTTAATACAGATTGAAATTAGAACCTTTGTTTTTGAACAAGTGGAGGGGCCTCCACTTATATGTGAATTTGATACTCCTCATGTTTAAAGGGCAGCCCGGTGCATTAGCTCCCGCTATGCGCGGGGTCCGGGGAAGG